GACTGTCAGAGGTACAAAAAAGTCTTTATCCACATTGCAAAGTTTCACAACTGCTGCTAGGGCTTCACCACAGCACTATCCTACTAACTAGAAGCATGATGTGGACTTGGAAGCAGCATTTCTTCTAGGAACATCAAGTACTTCATGGAGCTGGATGTTCCTTCAGTGGGGATCCAACTGATGCAAAAGAAAACAATTGTTGGCAGTGTTTTTTTTGGTGCTGCAATGGCTTGACGTATTCTTGTGAATGAATCTCTGCAGCTCCAATATTCACTAACAGGGAGGGCAGAAATGACCAGTAGCAGGGCATCCTTTACTTGCTCTAGTGAGGCAGCCATCTGCTCACAGTTCCTGTAATTGTTGGGCAAAGAACTTTTTATAGATCTGTTTCTCTTCCCCCCACCCCCTGCAAAGATTAGTTAGCAAACCAGGCAAGTTGCAGATGAACTCCAGGAAACAATAAGGCTTCCACCTGTCATGCTAATACAATTCATTGACATGGATGTGGGAAAGGCATTTTTGTGCTGATGTAAAGATTAAAAACAAAGCAAATAACTGGCTGTAAGAAAAAAATGGTTGTAATAATTTGTTACCATTTATCATGCACATAAGCCCATGCTGTGTTTGGTGTATACAGTCTATCCCTCATTTCCTTGTGCACTGACTATTGTGTTTCAAGAGACTGGTGTATGATCTGTCTGTTGGAACAGTAAATAATGAGAAGTGAGATTATTCCATCATTATGATGCAGGGATAAGAAATGAGGGAATGTTAAATCTTCAGTCTGGTTTTGTCTCATCTGCTTAACTCAGATTCTTGACAAATGTCTGGAAGCACAATTATTTTTGTTAAAAATTTAAAATGATATTTCTTCCCCCCTTTTTTTTTTTTTAGTTGTTCTCAGTCTTTCAGCCAAATCTCTGAAGGAAGTTGGAATCCCTAAACTTTTGAGTGCTCCTTGTATATCACAAAGAAGCAAAAGAGGTCACATGTCCAATATTATTCTTTTGCCAATCCCAGTTCTTGCTCCCTGGAACATCCTTCACTTGCCGCATCTAGAAGCCTTGTTATACTTTTTAGACGTACCATTACGAGTTGCAATCAGGGTTCAAATTATGGGGGAGCTCAGGGGCTGAGCCACTCCATAAGAGATGAGCCCCCTGTAAGATTTAAAAATCATAACCTGGGGGGTCAGAATTCTAGGGAATTTTATTAGGGTATCTTGATGGTGCAGCCCAACTTTTTTTGCAGCACACCCCCCAAGAGTCAGTGTAATTCAAGCCCTGATTGCACTAAAGTGTGAACAGCACTGCATTCTAACAAATGCATGGCATCTTTCCATGTTCTGTAACCAGCTGTAAACCACATCCTCCTTTGCTGAACCCAATAGAAAAACTGATGTGAAAGACACCCCTCCTGTAAACTCACCTTTTAAATGGAAGTTCCCACAAGGAAGAATCCATAATATTCATGTAGGAGGAGTTACTGTACTGGAATGATCAATATTTGTAATTAAAATACTGAGCATTGTCTCAGTGTTAATACTTGGGTTTGGCATAAATTGCCATTGCTATGGGAATTTACTATTCTTTGTACTGTATCTTTTGAAGATAGCATACCCCTGTGTACAGTATGCCCCTTGATTTTGAAGGGGAACCTGAAGAAAAATAATCTTTGATCAGAGTGAGTGAGTAGCTGCAGCTAAGGAGCAAAAGCTGATGCTAGCCCTGTGTGTTGGTTGAGCCTGCAGATTGCCCCAGAGTGCCGAGTCCCAGGCTGCGTGCTGAATCCAACTCCATGCATTGGCTCTGGAGCCATGTATTGGGTTAGGCCCAATATACTGAGACCAGGACTGCTGGCACCAGCTACATGCTGGGTCTGACCCTCTGCGTGCTTCTGAGGCCGCATGCTAAGCTCAGGCTGAACCCAGCATGTGGCTTCAGAACCAGTGTGTGGTCCCAGACTTGGCACGCTGTGTCCGACTTGGCACGTGACTCTGGAGCCAATGCACGGTGTCAGACCTGGTGTGCTGAGTCTGGCCACATAGGATTTATATGTCTGCAATCACTCACCAGATCAGGCTAAGGGGTGCCTACCATAGGTTGGAAATTTTGTGGTTGGCGGGGGGGACAGTGGTAGTGTGAATTGCCATGGCTCCCAGAGCTGTGGCAATTAATGTTACTACTGCTCTGCCTCCCCTTGCCCTGCCCCCACCCCCAACCCAATTTCTAGACCTGTGGGGATCCCTTTTCCTCATATATAATGTGTGCCAATTATCTCCAGCTGGCTTTGGGGGGAAAAAAGGTACTGGGTATATGCAAGGAAATAGTGCTGTATACAGACATTGTTATATACAACCAAGACCCAACCCACATTGTGTTAGGCACTGTACAACCCCAGAGACGCAAACTATTCTGAAGAGTTTACAGTTCAAAAAGTATAGATAGAAAATCAGACTCAAAGTGGAGTTTGGTCTCTTTCCTCAGTTTTCCAGCTGCACATCCTATTTTGTACCCATAGCTGAACTCTGTGGACTAGCTGCTTTATTTTCAACAGTGCTACTTCAGCTTTGTATAGGCCCATTTGTGCAAGCAACCTTAACCTGCCACCAAAGGGTGGGGGGAGGGACATAAACTTAAGTGCCTCCTGCATCTGTAGCTTAAAAGAGGTGGGGATGGATGGCAATCCACCAGCAGGGTACTGGTATTTGTTACCGGGGAAACAGAGTAAAAAGAAAGTGGCTTTCAGTGTGCGAAAATAAGGGAAACATTGTTTCATCCCTACTGAATCTTTCTCCTCCTTCCCTATCACCTCTTAATTCAGAAAGAAAGACACTCAGTTCTGTATTCTGAGGGGAGCCTGATACCTCCTGTTCCTGCTACAGTCTGTAATTCATACATTAGTCAGTTCCTAGGACAGGGGCGGGCAGTTATTTCTGGTGGATTGCTGCTTACTGTGTTTTGGCAAGCTGTCAAGGGCCATATAGATAGCCCTGCCCCTTGACAGGTGCCCTGCCCCCTGGTTGCCATCTTGTGGCTGTAAGTCCCACCCCCTAACCCCTGACCTTTGCCACCAGATGTCCCTCCCCATGCCCCCAGAAGTACTCCTTTCAGCAAGGGGTTTTGCCATCTCGGAACCGGAAAAATACCAAATTTTATATTCTAAAAAGCAAATGTCTAAAACCAATTAATTTGATTTTAAAACTATTTTTGTCCTGGTTTACATGTTTGTGTAGTGTACCTAGAGGTGATTGTACGTCATAGCTTAAAATGAAGTTTTACTCTTGTATATTTTGGTGGGGGGTAAAAGTTTGTGGGGGGGCTGTGGGTATGTAGGGTGAGGGGGAAGGTCCTACTACCTCTGGCTCTTATCATCTTTGATAGGCAGCCAGGAGAAGATAAAAAAAGTTTCCACCTCCTTATAGAACTCTGAAAATCCACATTACATCTGGTGCTCTGAACACCTTCCACCATATTCACTGTTTCTCAAGATAAGGTTTGATCCTGAACAGGGGCTGGAGACTAATGATCACTGCTATTTTACCTGCTTTCACACCCTGGACAATCACTTAGTGTCTCTCTTCCAGCTTCCAGATCTGTAAAATGAGGATAACATAAAACCTGCAAGGAAGTATTGCAAGGATTAATGAGCAGAGACTGGTGTAGTGTTTTGAACAGGCAAAGCATATAATTAGTGGTAAGTATGACTAGTAGGGCAGAAGTATTACTGTTATAAAAGGTGACTGTGGAACACTCAGAGGGATAGCTTTTCATTCAATAACTGGTAAATGCTGCATTTAAAAGTTGCCATGGTGGTTGGGGGTGCAAGTTGATGGAACACCGGTCCATCCCGTCTAGTATTTTATACTTATTAAGCCACTAGAATGACTCTACTCAGTCTAACCTGTCAACAGGAGGGGGAACCACCCCATGGGCAGTTTGAATTAGACACACTGTGGGACAACTCCCTTTTCCTCTCATCTAGAAGTTGGCTTATTACCTGGACCTGAAGATAGATAGCTCCTCTGCTTTTGATCCATGACTGTCCAAGTCTCTCTCTTTTTTTTTTTACCTCAACAGCAATGGAGTTGAAACCATTGTAGAGATAGCAGGAGCTTGTCAGGAAATCTAACATAAACACGCCTCCACATATTTAGCAAATGCAATTTCCTGCTCTTTGTTGCCTGATGAAAGGGGGATTAAATTATACAGGCACCCCCCCAGTTAGTGCTCTTTATTGGTTCCTGATAAACCCAATGTTAAGCAATGCTTCAAGTCTTTGATGACCCAAGATGGTGACTGCAAGCATTATAATGAAAGTTGCTGAGCACTAAGTGGAATTGGGTATCATTTTAAAATGAGTGTTATAACAAAACAGTGCTAAGCAGGGGTTGCCTGTAAATGCCATTCTCCTCCCTCCCTTCTCCCCGTGTTAACTGAACCATACCTCCTCCACTACCCCCATGGACTATGGATATACAACAGGACACCTGTGCAACCCTCCTGTTAAGTTGGAGGTTGAGAGGTGATGTGACAAGTGTGATCATTTGCTTATAACTGTCCTCCCTGTGTAAAAGTGGAACCAAATGCTTTGTACCCAGGTGGTGATTCTCAACCAGGTCTCAGCAGCGATCCTTGCAGGGTGCAAAACCCAGGGCTTTTGCCTAGACCCAAGGACTTCCCATAGCAATCCCTAGGAGATGTTATGGGCTCCCTGACTTCTTTGCAGTATAGAAATGGCTGTCTGCTCTTTCCCCCGGTGAAAACGAAGAGCTGGCCCCTGCCCGGCTTCCCTCGAGTCTCTCAGGGTGGAAGAGCCCCCTAGCCCAGCGCGCGCCCGCTGCTCTGCTCGCTTACGTCAGGAGGCTCCTCCCCCCGCCCCCGCGGCGCCTGGAGGGGGCGGGGCTGGCGGGCTGGCGCGGCCCCTCTTCCGGAGGGGCGGGGCGGGGACTGCCGCGCGCGCTGCGATTGGCTGCCCCCAACGTTCGGAGACGGTTTAACTGCCTCAGCAAGGAAAACAAAACAAAGGAGCCGCGAGCCGAGCCCGGCGCGGCGGGGCTGGCGGCAGGATGCCTCAGCCGCCTGTGGGCCCTGAGGGCAGCGCCTGTGGGCCCAGCGGCCGGATTCTCCTATGACCCCGCTACGAAGACGTCCCTGAGCCCCGGGGAAGGGGAGCGACACCCCACCCCCAGCTTTGCAGCCGGTACCTGAGCGGAGCATGAGGCGCTGGTGCTACTAACCGCCCCCCTACGCGCACACGCACACACTCCCACCCACCCCCCAGCCGAGCAGCGGTGGAGGCTTCTCCCTGCCCCCCCCTCGAGGGGAGCGGGCCCGCAGCACTGGGCGGCGGTGAGTACCTGGCCCGCGCAGGCGGTGGGGAGGAGCAGTGTCTCCCGCCCCCTGGGGGCAACTTTCCGAGCTATTTATAGCACCGGGAAATGGCTGCAGCGGGTCCAGAGCTGGAGGCGATGCTTTACATAAACGCGGGTGGGGGGCGCAGCGCAGCTCCGGCCCCGCTGCTCGGGCCCCGCTCGGGGTTTGCCAACAGCCGCGATCCCCGGGGCGCGGAGTGACGCTCGCTCGCGGAGTGCTGGGGGGAGGGGGGTGTCACTCGGTCTCCCCGGCGCGGCGCGGCGCTTTGTCCTGTGAACTTCCCGAAGGAGACTGACGCGCTCTTTCGTGCGCTGTGTCCAAATGCGTTTGGCCGGAACCGCAGATCGGAGTCACGTGTGTGTTGTTTTGTGTTTCCCACTCTTTTAAAAACACCACCACCACAAAACTCACGTGATGGCACCGTAGTTTGTGGACAGTTCCCTGGGGCGGCGGTCCAGGTTCAGAGAGTCAGCTCCTTGTAATCCTCCCTTTCCTACATGGACACGGTTTGGAGAGAGGCTCCTGGAAACGACCGTTTTGGTTTGGGGTTTTTCCCCATACTTCTGCCTGCCATTCTGGAGTTGAGCAGGAACAGGAGTGGGAAAACTGCCCGCAGAAATGCACTCAGTGGAGTGAGCTGTGAACTTGTTGAGAGATTTCCTTGCGCTTATTGACTAGCCTACCTAACCCAGTCATGTGTTTATTAAGGAGCTAGGAAGTGGAGTTAGTTCCTTGCTGCCTTGGTCTGTAACAGGTAAACACCAAGGAGTTTTAAAACCAGAATATAGTGAATTGCTTAAGCGTGAAAGAGCAACTGCTGACGGATGTACTCGGTGCTATAGGTAACCTCCCTTTTAACTGCAAGCTGTAGAGAAATGTATGGAGACAGCATAGTCTTTACTGCAAGCATTACAAGCGCTAAACAATAATTTATCAAGTATTAAACTCTCTTTTTATTATTTTTTCCAAGCAAGCCTGGATGACAGACTCTTTTATAGAGATTGAAGATTTCTGTAGTGACCTTAGTTGTATGGTGGACAATAGTGCTGTCTCTAGACTGCACCTGCTTAACATGCTTCCTCTATGTTTGTTTACACATCCGGGACCAAGGCCGGGACTGCCCACTTGGTTAGGATTGGCTGGTACTTGTCTAGCAAATTTGTACCTCCCATTGAGTGATGTCATGCTGCTGGATGGCAGCAAATCTAATATTGAAAGAATGCAATTCACGAATTGCAAATTTAAAACTAATGCTATGTTTCTTTGGCTATGTAGATTTTATGGTTCTCAAAATTAGTTAGTGCTTTAGTGCTCGAGATGTTAGTGCTTTAGCAACAGTGGGATGGTAAACCAACTTGAGCAGTAGTGAATATATGGATAAAACTGAGCATGATTTTTAAAATGGAGCTTCAGTAATTAACAGTCTTCTATTAAATTGTAATATTGGCTTTTAATGCCTTTGGGCATTCAGAATCACACTATCTGAACTCTTGTGGCTAGCCCTCTCTAATTTTGGCAGGTGGCAAATGAAAGTAAGCCCATATGCAAACATATAAAACACATTTGAATTCCCTTGAGATTAATAAAACAAAGAAAACAAAACATTGTATGTGCTCCAAAATGACACTGTATAGTGTCTAGGTCAGCAGTTTCCAACGCGGTGCCTGTGGGTGCCATGGATAAAACTTCAAAAGAATACAACATAAAGGGAAGCTGTGTTTTTAAAGTTGCGGATCTAATGCAAAAGTTATGGATAAGATGATCAGATTGATCTGAATTCTGACCTTTAACATTCATATTGATGCCTGCTGCTTTTTCTTTCTTGTGTCCTTGGGCACAAACATTGGGAACCTCTGGTCTGGTGATATGATTCTTAATGCTGTTAGGGGGTGGGTAATGCTAGGGATCTTTGCTCCTAATGAGTATACTAATAATTATATTAATGCTATATTTGTAATTTAAAGCATTTGCCTAACTCTTGGAGCACTTTTAAGGTTAATATGTGGAGTAAGGTTAATACATGGAGTAAATTAAAAATACAGTTAGACTGCATTTTTTTTTGTAGACTGCTACAAGCATAATTATGTGAATGAAAACCATTTCCATAATCTCTCCCTCTTCTTCAGTGAAGCACTTTCCAAGTGTTCTTGCTTTGGCTGAAAATTTTTTTTTTCCAAATGACTGTGTATACTCCCCCTCCCGTCCCTTTGGAAGCAGGACCATGTATGGATGCAACTTCTAATCGGGTCTAAAGGTTACAACTAATATTTAGTGATAGCCTTTTTATACTCGAGTATTATATTTCATTCTTGGAATTTACTCTTATGACTAAGAATACATCATCTTTGTATTCTTTTAAAGTCATCTGAGTTCTGAATCTTGATAGGACAAAACTAATTCTTGTTTTAACTAGGAAGTACAATTCTTTGTTGGGAGAGTTTTTAATAAGAAAAAAGCATGCCAGTTCTATTGTTTGCTAACAGCTATGTTTTAGACTTCTGTTCTGAATCTGACTGTCACTAGCTTTGTGTCAGACTGCCTCTCAGAAGGTATATGCAAATAAGCCGATACACTAATAATCAGTTAAAGGAGTTTAGATTGAAGTGCTTTGCAACAAATATTGAAGATGCTTTGTCACCTTAAGGAGAAAAAGGGGGATGGAGAGGGAAAGACAGAAGAGGGTTGGAAATCCAGACTATGTAATAGTAAGCTAACAGAACAAGGTGAAATAATTGAAATTATGGTATGTATCACTGATTAAAAGGCAGGAGGGAAGCAACGCTGACAGCAGGACAGAGAAAGGGATTGGAAGGAAAAAGCAAAGAACCAGTAAGAGACTAAAGAGCCAAGTTGACCTTACCTGTGTCCAGTAATTTGTGAAGGCATGTTGTTACTAGCTTCTGCTTCCTGGAAGCCTTGCCAATAACAAGCTGATTCTTTTTCTTTTGCCCCTCTCCTAGGAATCACTTCAGGAAGAGGGGTCCATGTCGGTTCACAGGAATAGTTTTGGGCTTGTGTAAAGCTTCAGACTTTTTAACTTTCATCTTTTTCTCAAAATACCCAGACTTCTCAAAGCTACTTGTAGATTATTGCTTAAACCCATTTGTAGTCCAGGTAGCAGTACGAACACCGTGGTTCTTGAGAGTAGGGTTGGGGTGTTGTAGCTGTGATGAAAGATATCACAAAAGATCCTTGTACAGAGAGCATGATTCTTGATGCATTTCCTGCTTTTGTAGGAATAATGGAAACTGACAGCAGATGGGCTTTTATTTAATTCATTTTTGACAGAGTGATGATGTGCAGTAGCAGAGTCACTGGAGCTATGTCTGAAGGCTCAGGAAGAGAATGCTGTATTGACTTGATCAATTCATGTTTGGAATCTTGCCTTTTTGTTAGCAATACAGCTTGGCAGTAATGATGTAATAAGTTACAAAGCACACTGCTATGACATTGCCACTGCTGCCAGATTAAGTAATTGAGAACAGAGAGAGGTGGGGGCATTTTGTTTTGGACATGCACCCTAGTTGCTGGCAACTCTTTTTTTTTAATGCATATATTCCACTATGTGACTTCTTCAGAAGACTTATTTATGGCCTTGGAGCTGGTTATGAATAGAATTTGAGGATGTCTTCTACCCTCATGAAAAATGCACCCATGCCTCTCTTTAGCTTACGGTGAAGCATCACAGAGCTGATGCTTTTAGTGCTTGTAGTTTCCCTGTATGTGCACACATTTTATGTGTGCGTGAGTTCTCCTCCCTCCCCCTGCCCCCAAGACATTTTGAACTGTGATCACTTTTATAAGGTTTTTTTCTTCCTTGAGAAATTTAATGGTATTAGTAGAAACCATGTAACTCGAGCTTTCCTTGGTGTTGTAGAACACGTTTCTGCAGTTTGAAGTAATGTGAATTCTTTTAGGTGGTGTTTCATTCAAGTTATTGAATAAAGTGGTTAGAAAACAAGTGTCAGAGGTATCTAAGAGGTGTGGGGCAGAGGCAGTAAGTGCAAGGAAGGGCTTAAAGTGGAAAATTTCTTGGTGGCAATTAGTTTTGTTTCTTGTGTATAGTGTGGATTTTCTCTTAAAGCAAACTTTCCTGTATAGGAAGAGTTGACAGCAAGTAACTTTACAGTTGGAGCTCTGTAGCAGTTAAGGTGCCGTGGGCTGAATATAAACTTTTGCATTTATTCAGTAAGCACAGAGGAAACAACAAATCCAAGGATTACTAGTTTGTTACTAATAGAGAAGCATACTTTTTTCTGACCTATGGTTATCTGGCTAGTAAATACTATACTTTTTCTCACATAGTGAAAAGGACTTAAGAGGCTGGGCTGCAGTATGTCAGAGGGTAGTGTTTTTTTACCATGATGAAATATTCTGATGCTTAAACAGTGTCAGATTTTTATTGGTTGAGATTTTTATCATCTACCTTATTAGACTCTAACTTCAGCACCTGTGAAATGCACTGGAAACTGGCAGAAAAAGGGCAGCCCCGTCTCCATTTTGTAGGTTGTCATAAGTAGTGACAAGTGCAGGATTTTTGTGCTCTTTTGCTCTTTGTTTTCTATAGAGTTGACTAAAGAGATGGACCTAATGGTAAACCAACTTTTCAATCTCTTTTTTGCCTTTCTACTTAGTCTTCTAACTGAAAATGCCCATTAGGATGGTGGTGTGAATTTGAAAAGCCATGTGTACACATACAATGAGAATATGAGTGGAGGGAGTTATGTGGACATCTGATTCGTTAGGAATGCCATTTAGTTGAAACCACTGAGTAGAGAAGAGTCATTTACTACTGAGCTGTACAGAACTGAAGCCAATGATCTGGAATCAAGAGGCTCCATTTCATTACAGTAACATGATCTAGAAAGTTCTGTTCTGAATGGCTGTGTTCTTTATTTGAGGCAAGGATTTCTTAGCGTGATCTCTTATTGGATCAACTACTTATTTATTTGTTATTTAAAGTTAAATACACTTTTTTAAATATTATAAATTATTACAGTTAATTTATAATTTTAAAATAAAATGTATTTATTATAGTTAAATACATTTTATTTTAAATTTTGAAATATATGAGAGAACTTGAACATACTACATTAAATATCCTTGGCTTCTTGCAACTTATTTATAGCTCTTCTTTGTTCACCTATAGGTTGACTGTTTCTCTTGTGGCATCTGTGTGGAAAGTGCCACACACACTCCAGAACAACGACGGCTTTTGCTTGCATTTTCCAGTGTTTCTTTTGTCAGCGAGTTCAGCAAAGTTGTAATTCTTCAAGTGCCAGCCCTGAGCTGAGTGAGGAGCCACCAGCAGAGATGGTAAAAATGACAAAATCAAAAACGTTCCAGGCTTACCTGCCAAACTGTCATCGAACCTACAGCTGTATCCACTGCAGAGCTCACCTAGCCAATCATGATGAATTGATCTCCAAGGCAAGTGATTAGTTTTTAAATGCTTCGATTTATTTTTAACCAAAATTTGTTATCGTTGGTCCATTACTTCCAGTAGATAAGAGATGCAATTCAAAAGCAAGTTTCAGAGTATCCCTCCAATGTTCTTGGGTCACAGGTGTTGTTTATAGAGGACTGGATATTTTTAGGAAACTTTTTTTTGAAAACTTTGTTCATCCTAGTTGGTTTTTTCCAGTATAGTCCTCACCTTCTCAATTCTCCTAGACTAATTGGGAAGTTGTACTTGCTGAGTTGTCTGGTAAACCTATATCAGGATTAGATCTTGTTAGTTTGCTAATGAAAACTGTCTGAGAGAAGTATGGAGCTCAGGACTCCTTTTACATGGCAAAAGAGGAATTTTGTGAATCGACACAAAGATGCTATTGTCACATTCAGTGGCTCAATCTGGGAGTCATCAAGCATTTTTCTTTCTGATTTGTTGGTACATGCCCTAGTTTAAACTTGCGTATTTCAAAAAAGTTACTAAAGTTTAGGTTGTCTCAGGTTCTTTAAATGAGGGCTTGTGCTTTGTATCCATTATTGGAAGAATCTACAACTCCATGTAGTATCTAGGAAAATCATAATGCACAGATAACTTGATTTAAGGGGTGTGTTTTGTTTGAATTCCACTTAGTTTGTCATGAACCATCCTCTAAATATTGTATTCTGGGGAAATGTTTAAATCCCACTCTAAACTTCATGTGAAATTCCCCTGTCCCCTTTGTTTAAACAGTCTTTCAGCAAGGCAGAATAATTGGGCCTGAGGGGCGGACGTGCGCGCGCGCACACACCCCTTTATTTTTTTTGAATTTTCTGTTTTCTGTCACCTTTTGCTACTGCTGGCTTGACTGTTGTAATAAGGCACTTTCTTGGGAAGCCACAGGGATTGAAAAAGTCTCTCCTTTTAAATTCTTGTTGCCCATTATAAACAAGAGCATTTATTCCTTAATTCTATGGAGTGGTCTTGGGCAGTAATATAATAGAGTACAAGCCCAGAACCTTGATTTAGGAGACATGGAGGAGAAGGGGAATAAAAACAGCTGCTACTGTAGGGGCCCTAGTCACTGTTACTGCCACTGCCCTGTGCACCACCAGTGCCCAACGTGCAAAACTGCCAGACTACGCTTCTGGCCTTAGATGAAGGCTGTTCTTAAATGGACTTGAAACAAAATTGTCGTCTTATGCTATCAACCTCTTCTGTTGCTCATTTCAATGAGTAGTTTTTCTAGGACATGGGTGTTTTCTTAACTCAAGATGATAGCAAAATTCTCACCATTTTCATTATGTTGTTGTTTGTAGGCACCTTATTGTAGCCTTCTTTCTCTTCCTGACCCTTCACCTTAACAAAGAAAGGAAGAGGAGAAAATAATAGAGCATAAGTGGTGTGCTAAGGCAGTGCATGAAATTTGTTCTGCAACTAGTCAAATACAGAGCAGCGAAACTGGCCATCTTCCATAAGATTGGGGGGGGGCAAAGCTAATAACTGAAAAGAATATTTTTCATTCTCCTAATTTTAAGTGACTTAAGCTACTTAAAATGGTAGATTTTTTTTCCAGGTAGAAATATGACTGGCTGAAATTGAAAGGTTCCCTTTCTAGAGAGAGAGAAATTAAAGAAAGGGAATGCCTTGCCTTACCAACAACCATTGATTGGTAAACTATAAGAAGACAAGATTTCATTATTTAACACACTTCCTAACTGGAAAGATTATGTAAAATAAAGATTTTCTTTTAGTCTATTAAATTTATGGGATAATACAGATTCATTGCAACTATCTTTTAGTTCATTTGCCAGCATACTAAGGTTAAATAAAAAGTTTATTTTGTGACCTATATAAGATTTTCCAGAATGGACTTGAAAAATCTGAGGTTTTAACGCATCAAAAAGAGTTACTGAGTGTATGGAAAGTGGTTTTTTGTTTTTTAAGTACCCATGTCCTGTATTTCCAAATAAGTATAGCCCTATAATATCTAATGGTGTAGGAGAATTTCTGGCATATGGTCTTATTTTAATCCTGGTTTCATATTCTCCAGTTAAGGTTTATTAGACAAACTACCAACTTTCTTACCCACTTGCCAATTTGGAAGTTGTCAAATGCAGTGCTACAGTAAACTTTCCTGAACCCTTCTTTTTCTGGCTTTTTTGCATTGTATCAATCTTGCATGAGATTCAGAAATACATGAAACATAAGATATATTTTTACTTGTAAATAAATATATACTTGTTGGTATTTTCTGACCAATTTTGTACTGTTATGTGGGGTGCTGGCAATAAAAACAAACACAAGGGAAATTATTAGATTACACCTGTTTAACTTTAGTTTGTATGTAGATATAATACCATGTAAAAAATCTTGTACGTTTCAGGAGTCTTTCTTCTCAAAACAGGTTATGAATTCATAATGTTAAATCTTGTAACTTGTGAGTATCTGACAAATGGTGCTTCCATCAGGGAAAACCAAGAGTTTCACACCTTTTTATTTTAAAGACATACTGTAAATGTATTCAACCTTCACCCTGTCTTTAAAGAGCTCATGTATCATTCAGACATGTGACTTGTATATTTACAGTCTGTTCTTACAACTCTACACAAGCAGAAGTGATGTCTATAACTTTGAATTTTCTTTCGTCATTAATACAAACCTTCCTGTCTAGTTTTCTCTTCTGACTTACTGATCCCTTTACAGTATATAAAATATATAATCACTAGAAGGCTGGGAATGTTGATGTATATGTAGTAGCAGTGAAAGTAAGCTTAATGGGGTCACTTTAACCTCTAGAGCAGGGGTAGCCAATTTTGGCTGGAGGGCTGCTTAATGAGTTTTGGTGAGTTGTCAAGGGCCACAAGGGTAGCCCTGCCCCTTGACAGATGCCTCACTCTCTGGTTGCCATCTTGGGACCAGAAAAACACCGCTCCCCGAACCCTGACCCAGAAGTGTTTATTTGGGGGCAGGGGTGTCTTCTTGAAATGGGGGGGAAAAAACAAATTGTGTACTAAAAAAAAATCAAACACCTACTCTAACTTTTTTTTTATTTTAAGAAATATTTTTGTCCAGATTTGTGTGTTTGCACAGTATATGTAGAGACGATTGCATAATGGCTCAAAATATAGTTTTACTCTTGTATATTGTGTGTGGTGGCTGTGGGAGTGTGTCAGGTGTGGTGTTGTTTTTTTGGGGTGGTATGGGGAGTGGGGTGTGTGGGAGGGGGGTGGGGGGGCAGCTCCTCTGAGTCCCTGGAGTGTGCAGATACCTGGAACTGCACGTGGTGGCAGTGAGCAGGGCTGGCCCCGTGCGGCCATGTAGCGCACAGCTCCCTCCCCAGCCACAGGTAGTGGCAGTGTGCAGGTTAGCCCCATAACATGCAGCTCCTGCCAAAGTCCCTGGTAACATGTGATGGCAGCATAGTATGCAACTCCTACAGTGTGTGGGGCCAAACCAGCCCGGCCCGAAATTGCACAGCTCCCCACGCTCCTAGCCCCTTTCCCCCAATGGGAGTCCTTGGCCCCAGCTAAGAGAGAAGGAGGGCCCTTACCTGAATTCCCCCTAAGCCACAGGGTGGCCAGGCAAAAACCTATGCCAGGCAGAGTCTCTAGTGGCCTCTAGCTGGGAGCGTGGTTGCTTAGCAGCCACCGCTACACCTGTTACATGGAGGCTCCGTCTTGCACAGGGGCAGCCCAGCGCCAGGGCTTACAGAGGGGCCCCACGGGGCAGATGGAATTCCCTGGTGGGCCGGATGCAGCCTGCAGGCTGTATTTTGGCTGCCCCTGCTCCAAAGGTTGTTAATATTAACTAAACCAGCTTTCTTCAACAAGAAAAATTATTATTTATCTAGAACTAAAACTTGTGTTGCAATCTAGGACTTCTCTTAAGGAATTGTACCTTGACTGACATACAAATTATGCATGAATTGCAAAGACTAAAACATAAAAATTGTCACGTTCTGACAATTGTGCATGTTCACCGAACTGTTACTAGCCTCAAATCTAAACTAGTTAACTCTTGCTTTATTATTTCTAATACCTTGTTAAAAGTGATCCAAAAAAGGGTAGGGCTGATGGTGGTTGTTGGTTTTTTTTTTTTTTTTTTGCACTGTGAGGATGTTAAAAATGATTGGGGAATCTTGATCACCTCTTTCTTTTCCCATGTTCTGTACTAAATTGTCAAGGTGGCTTCTCGGTTTATCTTGAATACTAGAATTCATACAATTACAACTTTGCAAGAGAAGGGAATGGAAGTGGAGAAAAATAGTTTAATCATTAAACTCTCCTTCCCTTTTGGGACCTAGTTTAGCTTTAAACTCATTCAAGCAATTTCTCAAAAAAAGTTCTTACAATAAAGATTATTCTCCCCTTTTTTCCAGTTCAGGGTTATATAATCAAAGTCCAGATGTTATAGCTTCCCCAGATTTTCTCATCAGAAATCGGGCACAAGACTTGGATTCTAAATATAGCAGCTTCTAAACTGTTTTGTGGAGTTTCTTGGATTCGTAGTGGTGGCTCTTTTTTTAACAGAGAAAACGCTGATCACAGTTAGAAAGGACAGAGTTTAACATTTTCTAAAGAAGTTAAATTGACTTGGTTGTCACTGTTTCTAATATCGTAATTAATACTTTCACAGTGTAGTTGCTGCAGTAATGTTTTCTGCTGGGAAATTGGCCGGAAGATGGTCTACACTAGGAGACAAACCCTTAACGCAAGATTCCCATAGACTGTTTCTTTTTAAGGCACGAGCATTCTTTTTCCTTCATAGGTAATCTTAAAATGGTGTAGAAGGAACAAATATTTGGCTGTGGCCTGACCTAAAGCATATGAAATATGACTTTATATCTTAACTTAGACCATCTCTTATTTGTTTGGGCTTTTTTTCCCTCTTTTCCTTTTTTTTTACTGTAAAGATGGTGCCCAACCAAGTGTGGAACTTTGTAATAGGGGTGTAGGTTATAACCGTGTTGGTCTAAGGACATAAGCAGAGAAGGTTCTTT